TACTCGGGTAAGGGGTGCAGCGTACAAGCTGAAGCCAAGCCCCTCAGAATCCGCTTTACCCCTGAGCATGGTCTTAACAGTCGGCAGACTTATTAGCACCTTGTAACCCCCCATGGCCGTGTGTCTGTTATTAACACGTGTTATTAACATGCTTGTATTAACAGTGTTGTTAACAACCCAATTTTCATCTGTACCCTAATCAACATGCTGCACTGCCAGCATAAACTGGCCCTGACACACTCCTGGTCACCCTGACATTTGCAATGTTGGACCCACTGTATGTACTTATGGGCGATGCATTAGAAAATATACATTGCATATTTTCTTGTCCGCTTGCTTGCTGTTTTCATCCATAGTGTTCGCCAATATCCTCCAGAGCCAGCATTGATTCCTGCCACACCCATGTCTTCCTACGGGACGCCCCTCTAACCCATGACTATCCATATATATCATCCCCACCTGTTGAGTAACCCACTGCCTGTTCGGCAACAAGTGGTATGGCCACGAAGATAATTGTTGCTGATGAACAGATTCTGAGTATCGTACAGAAGCGATCTCTGTTTGTGTCTGATGTGAGTATGGTAAGCTTGATTTTTTGCTCTTGTTTGACTTATTGTTTGGATGAATTGACGCTATCATTCCGACAGACATATTTCTTTCATACGTCATTCTGTAGTACACGCTTCTGGCATGCTTGCGTTACTAGTAAGACACTGCCACAGGGCATCAAGACCTATTCTGGTGATTGCTGTTTGCACCATGAAGTAGCGTTGCAAATGGTATGCACATGTGCTCCAACTTGATCAGCTGTGAATGGAACATAATGGATAAGTACTGAGCATGCTTTAGCCTTTATTAGAATGACTGTCTTCATTATATTGGATCTGAATAGGGGAGACTAGTAGCATGCATACTTTGGTAAGAACACTCTTCACTATTTGCGCCTTGTAATAGTATACTATGATCGAGGGCAATCACTGCGTGTAGTAGTGACAAGGACCCTAATGATACTGCACATTACAAGAGTGAGTCATGTTCTTGCCTTCGTATTGGTAATGTCGCTCATGGTGCAATTTTTTATACCAGATCCAAGCACCTCCAATACCACCTGTGAACATCCCTACCACTAGTCCGACCCCCTGTTTCCCCGTCTGCTCCATCCCTCCTTCTCCAACAATGCATGAAGTGTGTCTCAGCAGGACTAGCCCTGCTACCTCCACCCGACTGTTAAGACCATGCTCAGGGGTAAAGCGGAGTCTGAGGGGCTTGGCTTCAGCTTGTACGCTGTGTCCCTTACCCGAGTACATAGGACGTTGGAGCAGAGGGCCTCTAAAGGAGGACCAACAGCTAACCAGATGAGTGCAGGAACATTGGGTGGGGGTTGGTCTGCCCAACAGGAGAGAGGCAGGAGTCTACTGCAGTTGGAACCAACAGTAGAAGCGGAATGGAGAGGACTACTCGGACAAAGTCCGAGGCAGAGTGGAACCAAAGGGGACGGAGAGGGACAGTCCGTCCCTCCCAGCGGAACAGCGGAACAGTGGAATGGAGTAATGGAAGAGTGGAGGACAGCCAACCTAGGGAGTCAATCCCCTAGGCCGGCAAACAGGAGTTAACTTGGGTTTATGCCTAAGTCAAAGAGCAGAAGAGCAGGGCTTAGAAAAGGTAATATTCAGACTAAGGATCTACAGACAGATGTACATATGTTTATATACTCTAAGTAAGTAGCATAGCATAGTATAAGGCTATGTGCTGAGTGTACAGAATTACTAGAAAGATGACTGAGACATACAAGAAAAGGCTCGGAGAACAGTATGTACACGACGGATCAATAATCACTTGGGTATAGGGATTACCGGTGATCCAAAAAGCGGAACTATGATACTAAACGGAGATAGGACCAGTTGAGTGGTTCTTAGTCTAGAAGTGGACCGGTGAGGCAGTCAGGCGGACTAATCGTTGGGTGGGGCAACATGAGCAGAACTGAAGGAACCGAGTGGGTCAGAAAAGTGGAGGGAGTAGGAATAGGATTGGGCAGACCGATAGGGTGGAGGAGCAGAACCCCAGATAGGGTCGGATGGAAGGGGTATATTGTCAGAGGACATAGGGGTAGTGTCAGAGGAGCGGAATGGGGTTGGGTGGAGGTAGTAGGGCTAGTCCTGCTGAGATGCACCTTGTGCATTGTCAGAGAAGGAGGGATGGAGCGGACAGGAAAACAGGGGGTCGGACCAGTGGTGGGGATGTTCACAGGTGGTATTGGAGGTGCCCGGATCCAGTATATGACACCAACTCTATTCTGCTCCTCCAACACTACCCCTATTTTCTCTGACACTATTTCCCATACCTCCAGATCCGGAAGTCCAGATTCTCCCCTATGAAAGTCCGGGTTCCCATCCTATTGTCCACCTGGTGCTCCGCTTTCATCTCCAGACTTACACCTGTCTCCTTTTAGAATACTGCTCTCTGGCTACTCATTGTACACCTTTTGGCTTTGCTTACTGATCCGTCCATTTGCACTTCATTTCTGACCTCATTTCCTTGATCCGCTGTACACTTACTAATAGACCCTCCATATGCTTCGGACATAGCTTTTACTTTGCTGACTGATTTACTTACATGATACCTACAGTATATAAACTCCTGTAATACTCCGGTACTCCTCAGTTCGAATATGATCTTAGTTCTGCTCATTCCTGCTTCTCCAGACTTGAGTCTGATCTCTTGTCCATCTCCAAGTCTTAGGGTCAAACCTTAAGGCTAAAATCTCCGGCTCTACCTTAGGGTAGTCTAACTCTGTTCCACTTCTACTCCGGACTTGTCCGCAGTAGCCTTACTCTGTTCATTCCTAGCCATCTGAAGTTCCGCTGAACTCCCCCTACATCTGACCTCTGGACTTCCCGGACTTCTGTTGGACTTCCCCTCTGTCTCTCAGAAATTAAAGGGCATGTACTTGGGTAAGGGGTGCAGCGCACGAGCTGAAGCCAAAGCCCTTTGAGTAACCTTTCCCTTGAGCATGACCTTAACACACTTGTGTATTATAGGTCTAGTTTTCCACCAAGGATGATTCCATTGAGAAAAACAAGGCTTGTTGAATTAGCTAGTATATATACCTAGTACTAAGATATAGGCCTAGTACTAAGAAAGATCAGTAAGTCATCAAGCTGGGATATAGCAGAATTGTGCTTACCTTAGTAGAGTGCACAACCTGAGTACAATTGAAGATGTGAGTGCAATGTAATTGCAATGCAAAGTGTCGTGAAATCTGTGTGGTTGTGACACGAATGTGAATTGAATGTGGCAGAAATCCACACAGGTTCATGTCATTGTAATGCATTATTTGTTGTAGTTGTAGCACACCTGTGATGCATTCTTGCTACAATTGTAGCACTCTCCCCTCCCCTGCAGTACTGCATCCTGATGCATGCATGATGCATCCCCTCCTCTGCAGTACCAGTGTCCTGTGTGATGCATTCCCCACTGCCTGCCCTTTACATCAGGAAAAAGGGAATTTTTCTTAATGACACTTGAGGTGACTTGAAGGTCATTCTAAGTAAGATTAAGTAGAATTCTGCTAAGTACACCATTGCTTAAAACAAGTAGGGTCTTCCAATGAATTTGACTTATTGTTACACTTATCAGCAACTTCAAGTGTGAGCAATCATGTCAGATTCTCTTAAGATGCAAAGCTAAGTCAAAATAAGCAGATTGGTAGTAGAGGGCATCATGATTAAGACAAAGTGGTCAGGGAAAGCATTGATTCAAGTGGTGACTCAGATAAAATGCTAATTAAGACAGTCAAGTGAAGGAAATAAGCATGATCATAAGAACTGCCAAAGTTGAATCAGGTCAGTGAGAAAATTGCGAAATTCAAATTAAATTTCAAAATCACTACTACATGAGATGTACACTACTAACCACAAATATAGAGAGAAAGAGAGAGACTTACCAGAGACAAGGAAGGGAGGAAAAATAAGAGGGGAGGAAGAAGCTAAGGAAGGAAAGGAGGGAGGGAGAGACTCACTACAAGAAAGGTAAAAAAGCGGATAGAGGTAGAGAAGGAGAATCAAGAACAAGGCAGTAGGAGTAGAAGAAGAAGCAGGAGCAGGTGAATTAGGAGCATGAAACTTGAGAATGAGCAAGAAGAAACAGAGAGAAGAGAGAGATACTCACCAATGGCCTCGATATCAACACCAGCATCAGCACCAACACCAAAATCCAATACCATCCAACACCCACTGTCCAACATTCAACATCTTTGAAAGAGGACTACCAGAAGAAAGAGGACAGAGAAAGGACAGAGAAAGGACAGAGGTTGAGAGTGAAAGTGGAGGGAGGTGAATGAAGGAGCAAAGAAAACTGGAATGAAAACTTGAACCAATGTCACATGACTGCTTATATAATCAAAATTGCGAAAATTCTGACAAGTCCAATAATTAGCCTATAACACAACTTTTGTTGTACTTGTTATTGGATTTATCTACTGATGTATTGGTGCAGTATACACACTTCTCATGGAATATGATAGACTACTGTACTATACAGGTCTTAGTGAATCAAAAGATATTGCAAGTATTGTGTTTTTGGAGGGTTTAACAATTTGAGATTGACTCATATCTGAACCGCTTTTTTGACCAGTTTTTCACTTTTCCATCTCATGCCAGTATTGTGCAGAACAATCAGGGCTTTAAGTTGATCCAACATTTGTCCAATTTGGTTCACAGGATCAGGAGTAGTGATGTGCAGGGCCGGGCCTGAGGCCCTCAAGCCCTGAGGCCAAGCCCTCACCAGGCCAGGCCCACAGGCAGACTTTCCAGGGCCTATGGCCTGGCCTGATATTTGACAAGGCCCAAGCCTCAGGCCTGGGCCCTGGCTTGTCCTCAGTGGAAGGTCTGGCGGCGGCAGCAAATCTAAAAAGGTAAAACTGTATAGTTTTAATCTTTCTCAATAAGGCAATTACATACCGTAATGTTGGGTGCATGCTGAGTCCGCTCACTTTCGTAACAATGCCTGTTGTCGTGTCTGATGACAAGTTCACATCAGTGCACATTGTGTCTCGACTACGCCGAACTGTCACACTGTCCTCACAACTCACAGATGCCAACAACAACGCAACTCCAGAGATTTCTATCCACAGGAACAAGCCTCCTCCATCTGCCATCACTCAAAAGCCTGCACAACTGATCAGCAAACGAGCAGCCGATGATGTAGGCAGTCTGTCGGCAGATGAATGTGCGCCTGACGAGGGTGCTATGGAGGATGGGCCCCATGAAAGTAAGCATTCTTTTCATCTTTCATCTCTTGCTGATCACAGTCTTTGAATTTGAAGGCAAACACTTGCGACGTGCTGTTGCAAACGACCATGCTGACATGTCTTTCGATGTGCTCACAGGTATGTGATTCTTTTCAACTTGATATTAATTTTTCAATTGACTAACGATTTTTGTATTGGTGTACAGGTATTTTATTTAATGCTACTGCTTGCACCTCTAACGTGCTTGACAGACACCGAATCCACGGCACCTGCAGAAATGCGCATAGGCAAGTCCAAACCTTTGATGCCTCATCTGTTAATGCTCACACTTTTGTAGGAACGCTCAATAGCGAAGGCTTCAAGTGTATCAATGACACCCACACCACGGTCTCAGACCCGAGCAGTGCAATGAGAGGTACATCTAGTATTGACAATGAGTAATATGAATATACACTAATTTTGATTGTATACTAGGACGTGTTCAATCAGGTGCCATGGATCACAACATATTATTAGAAGATATTGATGTCCAAGACATCAGCACAACCATGAAGGCACGCCAGGAGGACAAGACCATGGATGTAAGTGCCTTCTTTGGAGCACCTTATGCTGCGAAGTCGAAGGATGGCAAGACTCGTAATGTCAGAGACTGTAAATCGTGCCAGTAAGTGAACGACTTGTATTCCATTCTCAACAACACTCATGGGATCACAGCAAGAAAGGCTTGCCTCATCAAATTGTGAGCAACACGTCGACGTGTCGACGTCATCTTGCATACAGACACTCCATAAGTTATCTCTCATCCCTCGGCCCTTTACTTAAGTGTTGTGGCACTGTATAGGATGCATATTGTAAATGGTGCAAGGCTAACAAATTTGAATCAATGCTACCTCCAGATGTGAAGGAACGAAAAAATGCAGCCGCAGTTGTGAATGCACAGCAGGGCAGTCTTGATCCTCATCTTCACAAGGTTCAACCATGTGAACATGTTCTCCCATATTCTGACAAGCTTTTTCGTGAAGCTGCGATTGAGTGGTTGGCATCTACTAACCAGGTATGGATAGTCAGTGTGATGTAACTAGATACTGATATCCTTCTCAGCCAATTCAAGCAGTTGATCATCCGAGCTTTAAGAAAATGATTGATACTGCTTCGCGGGCCACGACGGGTGTCCTCATACCGAATCGAAAGGCAATGCAATCCAAAATTGTTTCCATCTTCAAGCAGCAGATGACGAGATTAAAGGAATGGCTTAATGTAAGTTTGGAATGGCTTAACTCTCATTCATTTCTGATGTCTTTCGAGCAGAGTAAGGCTGCAACAGGTGTCGTCAATCTAACGTGCGATGCTTGGCAGGCAGCAAATGTGGAGGCATATTTTGCCTAGTCACTGGCCATTGGATTGAAGAACTGTCTGTTGGGGTTTGGGAAATTCAGAGTGCTGTGATTGGGTTCACGCTCCTCAATAATGCACATAATGGGACACGACTTTGCCAGGCACTGTTCAAAATTGTTGATTGAGTGGGAATTTCCCACAAGGTTCGTCATTTTGTAGTATGATTGCCAGTTGTTTACGCAATAACAGATCGGGTATATCACAAGCAACAATGCTTCAAACAACAATACTATGCTTGATGAGTTTGCACTTCAAATCGAGGCTCGTAGTGGCAAGACCTTTGAACCCAAGAAGCGTTGTATTAGGTACGCTGTTCTTCATACATCCTAGGCCAGTAATTTAGCTCTTCACAGGTGTCTTGCACATGTGATCCATCTTGCCACTCATGCCCTGATCTCAACATATAGCAAAGCTGCCTATTACAATCCTGCACAAGCTGAACTTGCCATTCATACAGAAAATGGTTGTCGGGATGAGGTAGGTCTTGTTCGTGCAATTACTGTCAAGGTAATGTACTGTCTGTTATCTATGTGAGGATGGCTGCTGACAGCTTTCTAGGAGCATTCGTCTGCTTCTCGCAAGCAACTTTTTAAAGATATTCAGACTTGAAGTGAGGGTGTCACCCCAGTCCAGCTTCTTCTCAATATGCCTATTCGTTGGTCGTCTACCTATGTGATGCTTGACTGAGCTGAGAAGAAGAAGCAAGTAAGTACTTATTTCCACTGCATGTTTTGAGTCAGTACTGAAGGATTAAAGCTTGTTGACACCTTTGTTTATGAACTCGGCAAGAAGGAGACCATCCTCACGAAGCAGGCAAAGATTGATGCACTCGAGCTTGAGTCCTGATGAATGGGATCGTGTTAAGTTATTCGTAAACTTACTTGCAGTTTGTCTTTTCATTATGATTGATGTTTGTCACTGATTGTCCTGAACAGCATGCAGATAATGCCCAACAAGCCTTCTTGTCTGATGCTGGACCTGCCCTTTATTTTGCCCTTCCTGCTCTCAAGGGTCTTCATAAGGCCTGGACCTCTCGCTCGAATGGCTTGAAATATGCTCCCTTTCATGCTGCATTAACAGCTGCTACTGACAAGATCCATGAGTACTATGAGAAGTCTGCAGAATGTGATGCCTATATCATTAGCATGTGTACATCAATTTCTTACATTGTCTTTGCTTTTCTGCTCACTCGTGTGAAGTACTTGATCCCAATCACAAAGATAGCCATTTCAAGAGATTCTGGGGCAAGGATTTGCACAAGGAGGTCCTTGAAGTTATGAACAAAATTGTAAGTTCATTGCTTCTTATTCTTTTCTACTCTGACATGTTACTCGAAGTTCAAGGAAAGGTATATCCAGATATATGGTGAGAATAATGCTCCTTTGTCACTCAGGAAGAGGGGGTTAACAAAGTTAGCCAGCGTGCTTCGGGAGTTATTGAGTGATGAGGACAGTGGCAGCAAGATCGAGGCTGAGGTACCTATTGATCCAAAGGAACCGTGGATGAGGGAATTTAACCTCTATTTGAACACCATTGAAACTGTGCCTAAAGAGATGTCCATCATCCAGTGGTGGGGGGTATGTGCTGAATTATAGGATATGATGACTTATTGACCCAAATTTGTAGATTAATGCTCAATGTTATCCTGTTTGGGCCTCGTTGGCCTGTGACTATCTCTGTATCATGGCTTCTTCGGTGTCTAGTGAACGTGCTTTTTTGGCTGCTGGGATGACTATTACAAAACATTGCAATTGCTTGAAGGCTGATGTGGTGGAGGCACTTCAAGTCCTCTGTCCTAGAAGTTGAGTTGGAGGCTGAGTTTTGTGGTGGAAATGAGGGTGGTGACAAGGGCAGTATCTTGCAGTCAGAGGACTCTGATATTGATGTTTAAATCTACAATTCACTTGAATAGTAGAATATATCATTTTGCACATTTTCACCTCAAAGGCCCTGGCCTGGGCCCAAGCCAAGCCCAGGCCAGGCTCAGGCCCTCTGGAAGGGCCTGGCCTGGGTTTTGACGAAGCCCAAGCCCTCTGAAGCCAGGCCCAAGCCCAGGCTTTCAGGCCAAGCCAGGCCCAGCACATCACTAATCAGGAGATATGACAATAACAACTTGGTTGGCTTAGGAAGTACTTTGCATAGTGCCTATTAACTTAGTTACATAGCAGCATGGTGTTGATTACTTATAAATAACCTTCTTACTTGAACATGCTTGAAACTCAAGAGGTACTTAAATATAGCATGACATGTTGGACACCATGGCCACTGAGTTGCCACTTATTTATGCTTAAAACTCAACATGTACTTGATTGCAGGCTCCAATGTGTTCTCATTTTAAACTTATATAACTAACCTGCTCAAACAATATTATTATACTTAATTTTAGCCATGCATTACTTAGTATCCTTAGTGAACAATTCTCTAAGCAGAAATTAAGTCAGTGTTAAACCGTGCTCAGGGGTAAAGCGGATTCTGAGGGGCTTGGCTTCAGCTTGTACGCTGCGCCCCTTACCCAAGTACGTGCCCCTAATTTTGGAATGTAGTCCGACACGAGTTCTATGAGTTCCAACAGGACATTGGAATGGGGGGTCCTCTGAAGGAGGACCAACGGACTACTAGGTGAGCGTGGGAAAGTTGGGCGGGGGTTGTTCCGCCCGGCAGGAGGGAGGTGGGAGACTACTGTGGGTCGGAACCAACAGTAGAAGCAGAGCGGAAGGAACTGCTTGGATGAAGTCCGAAGCAGAGCAGAACAGAGGGGACGGATGCAAGAGTGCGGGGGTCTATTTCCGATGCACGGGGAGTTGGAGGAGCGGAGGAACGGGGGAATGGGGGAACGGGGGAACGGGGGAACGGGGGAACGGGGGAACGGGGGAACGGGGAACGGGGGAACGGGGGAACGGGGGACGGGGGAACGGGGGGAACGGGGGAACGGGGAACGGGGGAACGGGGGAACGGGGGAACGGGGGAACGGGGAACGGGGGGAACGGGGGAACGGGGGAACGGGGGAACGGGGGAACGGGGAACGGGGAACGGGGGAACGGGGGAACGGGGGAACGGGGGAATGAAGGATTGGAGGATCAGAGGATGGCTGACCTAGGGAGTCAGTCCCCTAGGCCGGCTTAAACAGGAGTTGACTAGGATCAGGCCCAAGTCAAAGAACAGAAGAGCAGGGCTTAGAAAAGGTAATATTCAGACTGAGTATCTACAGACAAATGTACATATGTTTATATACCTCTAAGTGATGAGCATAGCATAGCAGAAGGCTATGTGCTGAGTGTACAGGATTACCAGAGGATAACTGAGACATACAAGAATAAGGCTCAGAGAACAGTATGTACACGACAGATCAATAATTGCTAGGGTATAGGAATTACCAGTGATCCAAAAAGCGGAACAATGATACTAAATGGGGATCAGACCAGTTGAGTGGTTCCTAGTCTAGGAGTGGATCGGTGAGGCGGTCGGACGGACTAATAGTTGGGTGGGGGAATACGAGCGGAACTGAAAGATCCGCGTGGGTTGGACAAGCAGAGGGAGTAGGAATAGGATTGGGCGGACTGATAGGGCGGAGGAGTGGAACCCCAGATAGGGTTGGATGGAAGGGGTATGGGGTCGGAGGACATAGGGGTAGTGTTGGAAGAGCGGAACAGGGTCGGGCGGAGGTAGTAGGGCTAATCCTGCTGAGATGCACTTCATGCATTGTCAGGGAAGGAGGAATGGAGCGGATGGGGAAACAGGGGGTCAGACCAGGGGTGGGGATGTTTACAGGTGGTATTGGAGGTGCTCGGATCCGGTATATGACAGTCAGAATGATTTGCTTTGACAACTTGGTGAACTTAATGTTGAATTAAGTCTGTTTAAGTGAGATAAGATGGCTAAGACTTTTCCCATTTTCCTGATGTATGTATTCCCCGTGATGCATCCCACCCTTCAATACTGTTGCAATTCCTCCCTCCCACCCTTATGGCGTGTTGCAGATAGTACGCAGTATATTGCAAAACATGTTATTACTGATACACTCAATCTGCATCTATGGTATTCTCAGACTGGGCCAGGGTCTCCACCCAATGCACTTCAAATGAAGCTGCTAGTTCTTGGTGTAAGTGAGCCTGATGCTTTGCATACACTATGTACCCATCCCAATGTTCCATGCTGGTTGGTATAACACTATCTTGCCTTTCATCCCAGTGTGTGGTTGTAAAGCTGGCCACCCTTCTGGCAGTGAACTCCACCTGACACAACTGCTTCCCCACACCATAGCATTGAAGAGTCGCACAATGACACTCCCAAACCTGTTCTCTCAGTTTGTCTGCATCGTCTAGCAAAGTATTGATGGACTGAATCAAAGGCTCAATGGCTGCAGTGGCCCTGAAATGTTGAACTAAGTGGTTGAGGAGTTCTGTAGAGGAACTGTTTATGAGGTGGGTCAGTGTAACCTCAGCATCTACTATGCTATCCTTCCCCCTTGAGCAACAGTGAGGAATAGAGGACCCTTAGGTTGCTTAGACTCACCAACTGCCACTCCTGCATGGTGTCACGGATCTGGTCCCATGACTTTGACCATGATCTTGTAAATCTGTTGAGTCACAGTGAGAATGACAACACCGCCTGTGGAACATTAAGATATAGCCAAAGTAATTGTATATCTGAGGAACATCAAGCTTACCATTGTGGTGCTCTGAGTTGATACTTTGCTATGTGATTGGAACTAATGATATCATGATTCCTGAACATATATAATAAGTTCCCACCATTGAATAGTACTATTGAACAGTGTTGTCATATCCCGTACCTCCAGATCTGGAATTCCAGATCTCCCCCACTAAAATCTGGTTCTCCGTCCTGTTATTCTGCCCGGCACTCCACTTTCATCTCCATACTCGCAATTATCTCCTTTTAGAATAACTAACCTCCAGCTACTGGTTATGCTCTTTCCGCTATGCTTACTGATCTGTCCGTTCATACTTCATTTCCAACTTCACTGCTTTGATCTGTTATATACTTACTAATAGACTTTCCACATGCTTCGTACATAGCTTTTACTTTGCTGACTGATTTACTTACATGATACCTACAGTATATAAACTCCTGTAATACTCTGGTACTCCTCAGTTCAAATATCATCTTAGTTCTGCTTATTCCTGCTTCTCCGGACTTCAGTCTAAACTCTTGTCTACCTTAGAGTCTTAGGGTTAAACCTTAGGACTAAATCTCCGGCTCTACCTTAGGGTAGTCTAACTCTGTTCCACTTCTACTCCAGACTTGTCCATAGTGGCCTTACTCTATTTGTTCTTAGCCTTCTGGAGTTCTGCCAAACTCCCCCTATGTCTCCTACGTCTGACCTCCGGACTTCCCCGGACTTCTGTCAGACTTCCCCTCTGCCCCTCGGAAATTAAGGGCATGTACTCAGGTAAGGGGCACAGTGCACAAGCTGAAGCCGAAGCCCTTTGAGTAACCTTCCCCTTGAGCATGACCTTAACAGGCATAGAACTGACCTGTCATAATATCTTTTTCAATAGTGGCGAGCTGCTTCCAATTTCTCTTCAGGAGTATTGTGCAGTCGTGGCCAACCCATGTTGTAGCTGTTTGATACTGCGCGGAGTAAGTAAAGTAAGTAGCTGCGGTCTAAGATTACTACTACTAGTATTTACATGAGATTTACAACACAACTCTCTATTGCAGTGGCAAATGACCAATCAGCCAGGTCAAAGATGGTGCAATATGTTCAGGAATGCTACAGGTGTGATTGCCCACATGTTTGACTTTGAGATTCAATGTTTAGCGAACATGTTCTCTGTATTGCAGCAGTGACTTACTAGTACTGTTTACACGAGATTTACAACGGAACACCTTATCTGGTAGGAACCAATTGATTGACCAAGTCAAAGATGGTGTGGCATGTGCAGGAATACCACAGGTATCACCGCAATCTACAGTGGCTCAAAGAAGTGTCTCAATGTTTGCACATTTTCATATAATTGCATCATTGTGAGCCAGGGTATGGGAATATAATAGATGGGATGTGAAAGTATGAAAATAATAAAAATAAAGCCAAACATCAACCTTTTTTGGCATCTTTTATCACTGACTATACAAAATCAATTCAACACTCTTTCTACACAATTCAACCAAATTTTTATAGAATATCTCACATTCTACTTGTGTCCACTAAAGTATTATAAATAAAACTTACTGTAGACACTATACAAGCCTTCAGAAGTTCATTGGTGATCACCATTCTATGCTTTTTACCTCTACTATTTAGTACACTATTTTCTTAAACAGTACTGACAAGCCTGCAAATGCTGCTCAAGTGACAAAAAGACTGTATAATATATAGAAGCAGCTTATTACATCTCAGACACCATATTGTGACTTGGGGGCAAGTGATATCAAGGCTAGAATTAGGAAAACACATGAACTTCTGAAGGCTTGTATAGTGTCTACAGTAAGTTTTGTTTATAATACTCTAGTGGACACAAGTAGAATGTGAGATATTCTATAAAAATTTGGTTGAATTGTGTAAAAAGAGTGTTGAATTGATTTTGTATAGTCAGTGATAAAAGATGCCAAAAAAGGTTGATGTTTGGCTTTATTTTTATTATTTTCATACTTTCACATCCCATATGATATTCTAAGACATGTGTCATTGATCACATCATGTGTAGGTGGTCTAATTCTATGATTTTGATATAAAGTCAAATAAGTGTCTCAATGAGTCACTAAACTAGAATACCCATATCTCCGCTCCATGACATCATTGTCCCACACTGCATATCTCAAGTTTAAGCCTGGACACTAGGGATTCAGACATGTCCCTATAGCCCTATTATATTCCCATACCCTGGCTCACAATGATGCAATTATATGAAATGTGCAAACATTGAGAGACTTTTTTGAGCCACTGTATGAGATTGGCCACATGCTGAGCAAATTGAATGCACCACTGACATCCTATGTCATAAATGATGAGGGAACATGTCAAATCCATCCAATCTTTAATTGATAGCATTGCATATAGAGTAGTCTCCCATTCATGTGGCTAGAAACTTTGATTAGCATTCTGAAACACTCAAACTGACACAAACATGGCTACCATTCACCCTTTTGAAAATCCACCACAGAGTGTGGAACAAAACATCCATGCCGTGCACAGGCAGTGGCAGCAACTCCAGTCACTCAAAGATTACTTCTGTTTGTATTTGATGCATTGACTGCATGATGGTTGCTGCAATAGGATCTCTCGTTTTTCTGTTCAGCAAGGGATGGCAGACATCAAAGCAACAAAAATGAACATACTTTCCACAGCTGATGATAAATGAGCCTGGTACTCACCTTCAGTCACCATGTACCCTAGGCCATCAGAGAGGGAAACATCAGGCTGAGGCTGTTTCATGTTCATGTGTTGAGCAGTGAAGTTTCCATCCACAACATATCTCTGTATAACCAGCCATCTACCAAATTCAGTCAGTGTCAGGGATATCAGGCCACTGGCCAGCCTGCTTGTACACAGGGTATTTATAGGCTGGCCATCTCTCTTTGGACATTCGAGGAAACAAACTACTTGTATTGGATACTTGTCATGCCAAGACAGTGACATATTGATGCCAGGCTGTGGACTGGGCAGCACAGAACAAAGATAGCTCACCCTAACCAGGTTGTACCTTCATATCATGACCAAATCTGAACCTTTTATGATTCATCAAATTTCTGAATTGACAAGATGTCTGTTAGGAACTGTGCTCGGATGGAGAAGTGGAGGGGTCAGGGCTTGGCTTCAGCTCTTGTGCTGCGCCCTTAGCTGAGCACATGCCCCAAATTTGTAGTGGAACCAACAATGTCTGACAATAGGACAGGCAGACCGCTTGGTCTGCTTTGCAGGTTGGGAGGTAAGAGCTACTAGTGGTGGTCCAACTAAAAGCAGAGTGGGTGGAACAGGGAGAGTGCATTTGGGGCAGAGGGTGTAGGAGGGTTGGTTGGATAGGTTGGAGAAGTAAGAGTGAATATTCTAGAGCACTGCTCTAAGTCAGAGCGGAGGATCAGAGGTGACGACAAGGTAATCTTGTGTCTGGAGAGAGCAGAGTCCTATGGAGTATTCTCACTAGTAGAGACTGCAGTAAGACCAGTAATATTAAGACTGAGGAGTAGCTAAATACATGGTATGCTTTTATATACTTCTAAGTAGGAGGCAGTGACTAGTAGTTCTTGGTACGAGGCTATGTACCAAGTATACAATTTGTAAGTAAACACAGATGATGTTAAGGTTGTGCTCAAGGGAAGTGTAACTCAAAGGGCTTGACTTCAGCTTGTGTGCTGCACCCCTTACCTGAGTACGTGCCCTTAATTTCCAAGAGGCAGAAGGGAAGTCCAGAGGTCAGACACAGGGGGAGTTCAGTGGAACTCCGGAAGGCTAGGAGCAAATAGAGTAAGACTACTTTGGACAAGGCTGGAGTAGAAACAGAACAGAGATAGACTATCATAAGGTAGAGCCAGAGATATAGTCTTAAGGATTAACCCTAAGACTTGGAGGTGGACAGGAGATCAGACTCAAATCCAGAGAAGCAGGAATGAGCAGAACTAAGATGATATTCAAACTGAGGAGCTACCAGAGTATTACAGGAGTTTATATACTGTAGATGTCATGTAAGTAATCAGTCAGCAAAGTCAAAGCTATGCCCGAAGCATGTGGAAAGTCTATTAGTAAGTATACAATGGATCGAAGAAATGAAGTCGGAAATGAAGTGAAGACAGATGGATCAGTAAGCAAAATGGAAAGGTGTACAACCGGTAACTGGAGAGCAATATTCTAAAAGGAGATAGATGTGAGTACGGAGATGAAGGCAGAGTGCTGGGTGGACAACAGGACAGAGAAAAGGATAAAGACCTGGACTTTCATAGGGGAGAATCTGGAGTTCCGGGTCTGGAGGTACAGGATATAACAGGTGAAAACATAAGTCGGGGCAGATATCAATATGTACGCGTTGAATCAGTTAGTCGAGCAGTTATAGGAAGTACTGGTGATCCACAAAGTAAGTTTCATGTGTCAATGGGGAAAGTATATACCTAAATGGGGAAACAGGTTCCAGTGGAGCGGAGACAATATGGAAGGTAACCGATGAGGCGGTCAAGCGGGAGCACAGGAGCCGATGTGGGAGCCAACTGAATCAAGTGGAGGGCGGATGGAGTGGAGGTGATGGGAAAGCGGGGGGAGTGTAAGTTTGGGCGGAGTGGATATCAATATTGTCGGAGCAGTCGGATCAGGTATATGACAATGTCCTCATGAGTTCATGATACCGATTCTGAGGGATTGGTGAATAAAATAGATGATCTTGTCAAAAATGATTACCCACTGGAATGGGGTCTGGAGAAGCATTATTTGTGAGACAACAAAGCTTTTGAAAGAAGCTCATGACTGAAATCTTTCATTCAAGTGCATCAATGAGGAAATAATCAAGGACTTCAAAGGTGAAAGCAGTTCAAGGACATGTTATACTGGCTGGAAACAATCTTGCATTAAGCAGCTGCACATGCTGCTGAGGTTCAGATCCATGGCATAGACACCAGAATATGTTATGGGTGAATATGCCTGTGGAATGCATGATGGTCATAGAAGTTGCCCCTGGAACAGTTGCTTTGATGATCTCAACTCTGGCACCATCATCCATGTCTATATCCTCATTGACTTCCTCCCATTCCTGCAAGACTTGAAACTGTGGATATGGCTGACCACCATGGCCTATATGCCAGATATAACCAAGCTTTAAGAGTGATGCATTGTCAAAGCATTTTCCATTCCACTGTTGCACCTTATGGAAGGCAGGGACTGATGAGCTTGGACTAGGCATATATTACACCATGCATGTGTTCCACTGCAATTCAAGCACCAGAACATCCCTTCTGCACTCTGGCAACTCTCATGGATTCCTCCATCAGTGAAATTCTCAGACTCGAGGATGATGTCTAGGAAGAAGTCATGGAGAGATAGGTATTCTTCAATGAAGTCATTCTGAGTCTTGTATTCCAGTTAGTGGAATTTTGTTCGTGTTAGATTTTGCATGATAGACATGCCTTAATTTTTCACCTTTTATTCTCTACATATGGAGCAAAATCACCATCAATTTCTCTATCCCATTCATCCCGAATGACTTCTGGCCGTTGAGAATAGAGTTTGTGTGGACTAGCAGAATTTGAAGCCCCCTCTGAAGGCTCAAACAAGGGATCAGCACAGGTCTCCATCCAGATGGTCTTCTGGGTTCTTGTTTTGGGACAACTGCCCTCTGTCTTTGTAAGAGAAAGAAAATGACTTGAGGCAAGTATTTTTCTGGTGCATCATGAGAGAATAGAGCGAGAAAAAGCTACTACTGACTACCAGTCACCCAACTAAGTCATGGATCTCAACAAGATCTAGATGTATAGCCTTTCACTTCCCAATAATACCTTTTCTGGAATACTAGCAGGTACCATTATGAAGAAGTGTAAAAAATCTAGACCATTTTATAATACTATCAGGTACCACTATTTCTTCCTCAACTGCTTCTTTGGCCTATCCACTAAGTGTAAAAAATCTCCCTGAACAGGAAAAGGAGGCCTAGTCACACCTACCCTATCATGTACCTTATCCTTGATAAAGTGAGCTAGAACAAAGTGTTCACCCTTTTTCCAGGGACCAACTGAGTGCTCCAAAACCTTGAGAAATATCAGCTATTTTTTCTGAGTATGCAAGAAATTCTTTAAGTTCACACCTTGCCACAAATAAAACACATTGCACCAGGGAAATAATCTAGGTTGGCTTCAAGATCTTTGATGGAAAAAATGGCATCATGCCCAATACCCAAACTCACAAGCATATCATAATGGGATTGAGCACCACCAGGGTCTCGATGGGGTAGAGTGAGGCAATTACCAATGACATCCAATCCAGAAAAACCGGATGGCCATTGAGATACAGGAACCGGTTTTGGTAAAGCACAAGTTTTCCCATGTACCTCAGAGATTGCAGCAGACCCTGCCTCAAATAGATGAGGAGCAATAGCTCCAGTGACAGCATTCCAGAAGAATTCAGTACTGGACATCACATCTAGCAAATCTTGGACTTCCTTGGCAGAGTAGGATGCTGATGTCACCAGCGGATCTTGAATTCTCTGAATAGATCAAAGTGGTCAGAATTTTGAAGTGAACAAAGTATTCACAAAGAAATAACCTCTTGTCATTGCATAAAGTAAGCCGGAGATATAGTCAGTTGTCCTGCACCAAATTCTCCACCTCTCTCTAAGAAGCTGTCTGTTACATGAAACCTCTCAGATGAGATCTGGTGGCACTAAACCCAGCAAGGGGTATTCATAGTGTGGCTTTCAGCACTAGCCCAGCAAGGAGCTTGCCTGTGCTTGGTCTGAGTAAGGTTTGAGGCCCTTACTTGCATAGAGTTGATTGGAGATTTCTCGAGGATACAATCCAAGAGAATGGAGTTCAACTCAAGAGTATCAGTCTCAAGAGAATATGGTCCTTTGCACTGAGGGAGTTCTCTTAGGTAAGAGAAGTTCAGACCCAAATACAAGTACAAGATGAGAACCAAGTATATTCAAGTTAGAGAATCTATCTTTGTCATATCCCGTACCTCCGGATCCGGAATTCCTGATCTACTTCATTAAAGTCCGGTCCTCCATCTTGCTATTCCACCCAGCACTCCACCTTCATCTCCGCACTCACCCCTAACTCCTTTTAGATTAGCTATTGCTCCAGTTACCGGTTATGTCCTATTCCGCTATGCTTACTGATTCGTCCATTCTTAATTCATTTCCGACTTCACTGCTTTGATCCATTACTGTCACGAATTCCTAACACGAATCATTTTTCTTTCCTCGGTTTTCCTTCGGCTATGTCCCATACCCGAACCGGTCACGTGACACCACTACCTTTCACATTATCACATCATCACCATGTCACAACTTCACCTCTTTACATTTCACCAATCACATCTCCGATCGGATCTCCTACGCCCAGGGCTAGAACTATATGTCTTCCTATCACCTAATCTCCGTCTCTGACATCATTGCTTATATATCGCGACGTCATACTACGT